GAGAGAGAGAGAGAGAGAGAGAGAGAGAGAGAGAGAGAGAGAGAGAGAGAGGGAGGGAGAGAGAGAGAGAGAGAGAGAGAGAGAGAGAGAGAGAGAGAGAGAGAGAGAGAGAGAGAGAGAGAGAAGACTATAGGAGAAGTCCCCGCCAACAACCGTGACTGAAAGCTTGTTCTGGCGAAGCAGCAGACCCACATCAATAGTCGATGTCTGTTGGCGTCTTCCTCGGCGGTGAGATTGTAAGGTAAATCTCCCGTGAGAAGCTGAGTGATGTTGAGGCTCTCGTCTCTGAGGAAGTAAGTCGTCCTGTTCCGCAAACCAAAACCTTCGGGGAACACTGTCTGGGTCAGTCCTGCAAAGTGTTATAAACAATGCAGTTTAAAAAGGATAACATTAATTGTTTTATCAACGCTGTAATGTGGAACTTACGGATTTGGTGTTCATTTTCAAAAATCACTTTCCATATCATACCCTCGGTTATAAATGCCAACTAGTGGATGGAATTAAAGCAATGCCAATCATTTTGTGCTATGCAACGTACCACGAGAAAAAGTGGAATAATATAAGAAATACTCACCAAGTTCTTTTACAATCTTCTGCATCCTTTTATGCACGCCACCGACAAAGCGCATACCGCCGAGCTCCAGGTTCACGTCTGGTGCCTCGAGTAGAGAGCTTGTGTACAAACGGCCGCCAATCCGGTTCGAGTACTCGAACACTTGGATGGACAGACCGGCATCTCGGAGCATGTAAGCTGAGTTGGCGCCACCTATCCCCGCGCCCACGATGGCGACATCGATTGATTTTTCGCAGACGCCGGGGTTGTCATTGGCCTCTGTATAGAAGAAAGGAATGTTGTTGATGATGATGATGATGATGATGATGATGGTGATGATGATGATGATGATGATGATGATGATGATGATGATGATGATGATGATGAAGATGATGATGATGATGATGATGATGATGATGATGATGATGACTGTTTTGGAATCGAAAACATGTATAGGCTAAGCGAAAACAACAATTTTATGAGCCTGTCGTGCACAAGTGCTCTCGGGCTAGTATGGCTAGGGGGTGGCTATTAGGGAGGGAGGAGGGGGTGGGGTTTGAAAGCTAGGTACCTTTACAGCCCTAAATTCCTAACCAGCTTCTTTTTGTGCTTATAGTCAATTCGTTTGTGGTCTTGTCTGTTTGAGCGGCTGAAAAAGTATGTCTTACAGAATTATCTAATTATAAAGTACACGAAATAAATTGTACGCCGGGAGCAAAAATGACATAACCATATTGTATTTTCGAGAAATACTCAACAGGTGTCTGTGGTGTAGTGGTTTGGATCTTCACTGTTGCCTGCAGAAGACATGAGTCCCATCCCGAGTCGGAATGGGATTCCATCAAGTTTCTCCGTCTGTCTGCCATTATGCTTAAGATCTATCCAATTGAGCACAGGGTGGATATGGACATGACAAGCGAGCTCGAAACTGTCCTCTTCCTAATTGATCTAAATTGTATCGGCATTGCTGTAAAATGTGAGGCAGCGTGGTGGAATCAGGCTCTCGTCAATTTTTGGCACATAGTTATTGGTATCATCTTAAAGCTTGTTCACTTGTCCTTATTTGGATGAAAAAAATATCTTTTTATCTTAAATACAAGTCGAGATATTTGTGAATGAAGGAGGTGGGGGTCACTTGTTTTCAGAGGTAAGATTAGTGAGAAAATGGCTGAAAAGATTAGTTATTTCTTTAGCTTAAGAGTCCGTGGTAACTGAAAATGTATATCTTTTGTGCCTTTAATCAACGTTTTTCAGTAAAATCCACACAGAAATGAGTTCTTTATTGGCCATAAAAGGTGTTGAGCCCAAAAACACAAATTTGATAAAAATTAACAAACCTGCGGAAAAAATGCAAGTTTCTTCACTTTGATTATTTTGACGAGAGCCTGATTCCACCACGCTGCCTCACAAATTGTTACAGTCAAACGAGCAACTCAAACTTTCTGTCCATAAACTATACTTTTCTCTTCTTATCTTCATTAATATGACTTATAGTACAGGATTGTTAAAGATCAGTTACAGTAATTAATTCACCACCAATTTAACTTTGTAATGACAATCTTGTATCTATATATTACCCACTCATCATAAGCATACCACAGCTACATATTATTAAGGTTTCGTGCATGTCAATAAAGGAACAAAGTGTTAAATGTGTCACAACACGGTGGAATCAGGTGCTCGTCATTTTTGGTTGTTGACATATTGAATATTTGGCATAATCTGAAAGTTTGTTTAACTTTTGACTTTAAAAAATACCAATCTATCCGGAATATAAATCAATATATTTTTCAGTTAAAGGATGTGTCAAAGATACGAGAAAATGGCCACCAAAGTTTCGTGACTTCCAAAGCTTGAGTATCTGTGGAAACTGCAAATTTACTTTTCTTTGTGCCTGTGTTCACAGTTTTAATTCAACTCTACACAGAAACGAACTTTAAAGTGGACAAAAAAAAAGGTGCTGAGTTTTTAAAAATAAACGATAGGGGGCTCTCGTGGCCTAGAGGTTAAGGTGTTGGACTCTCATTCAAAGGTCCCGGGTTCGAATCCGGGTAGCGACCGAAAAAGTTTATTCTCTAAAATTGTCTCCTTCTTTCGTGTTCCCTAGCAATGTTCTGTTGTCTGCTTTCATTTCCACTTTCTGCCCCCACCCCCTCACCTCCTTTGCCCCCTCCTCTGGGCTCCTGACTCTTTCTGCAGCCTTTCTACTGCTACTTCTTGCCTCCTCCGTACTGCTGTCTTTCTGCCACACACCTGATCTTCTGGTAGGAAAGATCTACACATAGCCTTCTCGGACAAGGGCAAAACATTTCAGAGGGCCCGTGTGCAAATTGCGCACGTTAAAGATCCCTTGGTGGTCTAAAATCGATAAGAGTAGGCTTCGGCCGCCACCCGGGCAAAATTCAAAATTTCCTACCAACTGAAAATATTAGGTGTGTCCCGCGCTCATATGACCCTATGCATTTGCTAGCGCCGTAAAAGACTTTACAAAAAAAAACAACAAAACAAAACCAAAAAAGCCCCGATAAATTTGCCCAAACAGGCGGAAAAATGCTTGTCCCTTCACTTTCATTATTGACGAGCGTCTGATTTAAGCACGACACGACACACATTTTAATAGTTAGGGATCTTACTCTATCGCTAACACCGTACCAACCAGCTCGAACACCTTTCTCATCCAAACATCTCGATGGACACAAAGAGACAGCTTATTACTTCAATATTCACACAAACATTTAGCAAGCAGTATCAGACTCATGAAAACAAAATCTCTGTGTGCGAGATTAAACTATGCTCTGCAAAACCTTTAAGATCACAAGAAGAGACAGAGAAATGAAATGAGCGACTATTGGTACTGAGTGCTGCCTGCATTTCATAGAAAAACAGAAAAGAATGGTTTGGCCACTTAGCCAGCCAGTCTTGAGAGTGAGAGTCTATTTATTACACCAAGTACTCAGGCTATGAAAAGAAGAGGTAGACCACACAAAAGATTTATTGGGGGAGTCCGGAAAACCTTGAGAAATATGAAATCCCATCAAAAGAGCCGCAGAGATGGCCTGCCGTAGAAAACTGCATCCCCCCTCGACACTTAACGGCAATAGACGATGAAAAAGTAAAAGCAAAAGTAACGCTGTCGCTGGTTCATTTCTTGCTTTTCTAATATCGTGGACAAGTCTGTACACACTGTGTATTCTGCATATTATCATTGATTCATGGATCTATTCATATATTATTCAGATGGTTCAGTCACACGTTTGTGCGAAAAGGTTTCGGCCTTTCGAGATACAGTTTCAGATCTCGGGGTACTGGTTTTCAATGGTATCAAGACGTGCAGGAATGCAAATATCGGCAGGCGTACATGATTAACCTAGTGTGGTTTTCCAGTCTTTCTAGCCGAGCGCATGCATAATAAAAACACCTCTGGTCAGCTTCATAAAAGTGAGCTTTCCATAAACCGTGTTAGTTTTGTTTATGATATCATAACTATAATTGTATTGGTGGTCATAAAGAGACGTAGAAAGCATTTAATTTATTATCTTGGTCTGTGGAGTAAAAACTATGGCTTAGTCATTGGTGTTGACGAAGCAGTTATCTTTCATTTGAATTGCCTTATTTGGTAAATGTCCTAAATCAGGTGAATGTTTGATGTATTCAATAATTGTACGGCAAACTGCATTCATACAATTGCATACCTCTTTAGAGCGGGATTTCAAAGGGCCCTTCAACCAAATTCAAGCAAATGTGGGTTGTTTTCCGCGATTTAGCAAAACTATAGAAAAGACGATGCTGAAGGTGAGTGTAGCAACTGTATTCAATTGCCTAACAGACTATGTATATTGTAATTGCTACCATTATCAACTATAATGGTGATAATAGCAAGAACAGAACCTTAAAAATACAACTGCAACAACAAAAGCAATATCAGCAGCAATAACAGCGGCACCAATGACAACACAAACAAGAAACAAACAAGGCCCCGCCCCCCCCAAAAAAAACCCCCCCCAAAAAACAACAACAACAACAAAACAACAACCCAACAACAACAAACAACAACAACAACAAAAGTCAAAAACAAAAAAAATAGGAGCAATAGAGGAACAACAATAATACTACCTATAGACAGTCACGGCTTAACAACATCTTCTACAAACGGACATTGACAAGAGTTTTGGTTTGACTTACCCACATGTAGAAAAGGAACTATGAATATGATGGTGTACGCCAGTCTCAGGACTCGGGTCATAATTTCTACACGATTTCCTGCTGATTCCACTCTTCCTTTTCCTGACACTCGTGTGTATTGTAAAAGCGTATCTCCAAAGAGAAATTCACACGTTTTATACCGGAGACGGGTGTTTGTAGTGATTGCGACACAAAGACCTGATTTTGTTAATATATTGTTTTTGATAATGGGATCGCTCATAAAACATTTGCTTGAATAGAACACCTTCTTGCAGTGTGTGAAGCAACAGATGGACTTCCGATAAAACGCAAAGCTGGATGCCATCAGTGTGAGACACCGACACAGAAAAATAGACATAGTGCGCAATGGTCTTTTCGTTAAGACAACAGTCGATGAAGATGAGGGTAGTAACCTTATTAAGCCACGTGGTAAAGAATAATATTGCAGTGAACACCTTTGCTAACGATAATGATAATAATAGCAGTAACAGAACATAACAAACATTATAACAGCAACAGCTATAGCAGCAGCTAGAACAAAAACAGTAACAAACAAGAACAAAACAACAAAGCAACAAAACAACAACAGTAGCAGCAGCAGGAGCAATAGAAAGGGCACAGGTGATTTTCCCCAGTAGACATTTTAATATAATATTATGTATTCAATCAATAGTTCATTAACACGTAACTCTTTTCATGTTCAAACAATATGAAACCTGCTTTGCCTCTGCCCTCTACACGCTCGACATTACTGAGCCTATTTCTAGCCTAACGTTATTATTGGTTATATTACTGCTCATTTATATTATGCATGTGACTGTAATCCTGCATGTGTGTGCATGTTTGTGTGTGTGTGTGTGTGTGTGTGTGTGTGTTTGTGTGTGTGTGTGTGTGTGTGTGTGTGTGTGTGTGTGTGTGCGTGGTAAAACACCAAGCAATGTGCCAGGATCTGGACATAAAAATGTATCTTATCTAATTTTACAGAAAAGGTACACTGTTTTAAGTTAAGGTGACCAAAAGTACACTAGGACGTTCTGTTTCAGTATATTGGGATGATTCTTCAAGATGACCAACCTTGCTTTCAAAATAGCATCTGCCTGAATTAATCTGTTCAACAGTAGATGCAACAGAAAAAGAAAAAGTGTACATTATCTGAATTTAACACACATTTAATTTAATTTCCATATGATCTGTAAAAGTCAGATCTGCACCACAACTATTTTTACAGTTTAAAAAAAATTGTTTATTGACACCTCAAGTCGTCTTCAGTCTATAACAAAAATGGGGCAACAGTTTTGAAAATAGTTTCACCAAATACTAAGCTATCAAAATTCACCGACTAAAAGGTCCTTTGCAATTTGATTTAATCATGTAGGTGTTTAATTTATCGTCAGAGTAGTATAATTAGTATCGGAGGTCTCTATATCAGATAATTCGTAGTCAAGAAAAATGCAGGACGACTTGTAATGTTAATTGGTTATTTGAAAGGTCGGTTGAAGTGATCAGTGAAGAAAGAGCCATCTAGTGGTTGACATTTGTTTGTACTGTAAGGGGGCAATAACGCAACATCAGTATAAATGTACCCTATCCAATCTGGCACATTTTTCCAATACTGCCAACCTGACATGAGGGTTGAAGTAGTCTCCATTAGTATCTTCTTGCCAGACTTTCCAAGGTCCCAATGCCCAGAGAGTGAACAAGAACAATCATTGTTACTAGTGCCCATCCACTTGCTCACACTTCTGTTATATCTAGAGTAACATGTGTGCCATATGGCACACTGATCCCACAAAATGGATTTATGTTGTAATTGGTGAAAGGGGGGCATTAATTAACCATTACTTGTTCCCGTACCCATGACGCTTATATTGCCCTTTGTTTAATTCATGATTAGTTCAGGTTCTTTGACACCCTTTGAGAGAGACTGGTTTTACCCCCCCCCCCCCCAGGCAGTGGGGTCGGATAGGTTGTTGTAAAGAGGGTGGGGCTTACCGTAACCAAACATTGAATACATGAATTTATCATGATGAAGACTATAAGTAGACATACTCTGGGATGGATCCTGAAGAGGGGGGGGGGGGGGGGGGGAGCAGAGATTTAGTTTTTTTAGTTTTAGTAAGTGTTTTACGGCACTTGCAACACAATAAGGTCATATAAGTGCCCAAGATTAGAGGTGTTACAAGAGAGTAACAAACACAAAAAAGAAGGAGGAGAGATTAGGACGATAAGATGTTTGATAGGAAAGAAGGAGCAAACCACACCAGAGCACCCGCCAACCACCCACAGAGCAGAGATGGACATGTTCCGACTGCAGTGACCCCAATACAGTGGACAAGTAAACATTGAATATAGTATAAACAACCTGAAAATGTATTTATAATTATAGATTCAAAATTTGTATTATCTCACCTATGTGTCTTTATACATATATACTGATTTGTGTACTTCTGGGTTTTTTATGTTTTGCTGAGCAAATTTGCCATTGACATTTTAATTGAACTTTACATATTTCATGATGAGCCCTTCATGATTATAGATAGTATCACTTTTGCTTTCCTACCACAACAAAATGCCAAAATTCTGCTTGTTGATGTGGTTCCAGTCTCTCAGCACTGCGCTTATCCTCTCATGAAAAAGATCTAAAGCGAATTTCCAATGTGTATCCTCACGATTAATTGCTTCACTGAAATTTTAAAAAGTAGATTCCAAACTAGCTTAGCTCACTGATACAATACACAGGTGATTATTTAATTCATCGCCCGATCTCCACACAAAGAACAAAAATATGCACAAAATATGCAAGACATCACGAGCTGCTAACACGCTCAAAATTTCATTCAAGTGCACACACACACATACACACACACACACACACACACACACACACACACACACACAAACAAACACACACACACACACACACACACACACACGCACACACTCACAATCTAAGCCCAGTAACACTATCCCAATAACACGACATCACTAAAGAAGACACAAAGGGCAAGGGGAGAAATAGGGGAGGGGGGCGAGCTCGGTCAACACCATCGTCTGGAGCCGTGAGGGTGTGCAGAACATCAAGAGTCAAGCCATGATGAGCCCTTCATGATTATAGTATCACTTTTGCTTTCCTTTCACAACAAAATGCCAAAATTCTGCTTATTGATGTGGTTCCAGTCTCTCAACATTGCGCTTATCTTCTCATGATAAAGATCTAAAGCGAATTTCCAATAAGTATTCCTCACACGTTACACAATCCGGCTTCAGCCCCCGAGCGTAATAGAACCATCAGTTTCTTTGTCTCGGTCTTGAGCCATGCAAAGTCAATACTGCAATTTAAGCCCCACCCCATATAGACGCAACTGACACGAGGTAGGTTTTTGTTAAATTTGAAGGGGGGGGGGGGTCTTTTTTTTGGGTTGTTTTTGTGGATTGTTTTGCTTTGTTTGGTTGGTTTGGCTTGTTGGGTTGGATTTGGTTTGTTTTGTTGTTGTTGTTCGTTTTTTGTTGTTGGTGTTGTTGTTGTTGTTGTTGTTGTTGTTTTTTGCTTGTTTGTTTGTTGTTATGGTGGGGTGTTTTTTGTGGTTGTTTTTTTGTTTTTTTGGGGTTCTGAAATGATTCTTCCTGATTTTGAAAATGCTCCTTGTCATCTCTTGAAATACTGTCTTAAAACAGTTGCATCTTCCCTTTACATTTATCAAGAAAATTCTCAACTATAATCCTTTTATACCTTCTTTCCTGGGGAACAAGTGAGCAGATAAGTGGCTGTCTAATCCTACTCAGGTCTCGTTTAAACAGTTTGAACCCTTTGTTTTGTTGCAAAGAGTTTTGAAAGGAATTATTATTATTCCCGTGGACAAAAGCCAACACTGGTGCTGACTCGCAATCATTTACAACTAGAAATGTAGGTTGATTTATTTTATTTTTTGTTCTTAGAGATAAGTCTGTGAAACGGCGATTTTCCACATTTCTTTTACAGTCAGTTGCAGTGTAAAAAAAAAAGCTCATTAGAAGATAATAAAGCTCTCCAAGAAATTCGAAACTAAGAGATTACCATCTGAAGGATATGGCGGATTGCAATAATAATATGAACTAAGAACAAACACCAAACCCCAGTTAAACACGAGGTGTGGTAGCCTACATCATCGTATTTTGACAGGAAGGTAATATGTTTTAAACCTCTGCCCGACTGCCCGATCAACACGAAACTCACCGGTAAATGAGACGTCAAGGGATGCTTCAGTAGTGATGTAAACTATAGTTAACCATTTTTAAAATTTTCGTAGGTCTTATGATATTATTTTGATATTTTATCACTAATACTGATTACAATGAATCAACGTCAGCTGATAGGCGTTCCAGGTGGGAAAGATGTTTATCGAGTATATTGTATACGTACATGTGTCTCGGTCTTTCTTCTAGGACGATATGCTATCCCTCTCAGCCTAGGTCGACTCAGACAGGAAGTGTCGAATCTCGGCTCCTTGGTAATCTAAATCATAATATTGTGTCGATGGAAGGCGTAAAAATACCACCTAGATCTACATTATGAAAATGAAAGACTTCCATATTTTATTGTAAAATATCAATTTGTTACACAAAATTGACACAGTTGGGATGACTCAAGAGATGGCTGCTTCTACTTTGACAATGCTAACTCGGACTAAGTGGGATACAGTATTGCATCAGAAAGAAGGAGATATTCGATTTAGGAAGGGAACAACAAAACTTTTCCCTTCTCTGTTGTCCTATTCCATCTCCTGCCTTTTTGTGCTCAACGGCGATGAGATCAAAACATTACACCACGAACGCAGGTTACGAACTGCTAACGAACGCACCAAAAAAAAAAACAACAACCCAAAAACACAAATGAAGTCAACACTGAAACCTTGTTCCCCATACATGGGGAAACCTACAAACTACAACACACTCTAAAGGGGCGCACAAAGCTTCAGCCGATTATGATCATCAAAATCAGGTTGTAAATGATACATTGAGTGTGCGTTAGTGATGGCAATGATAGTACATAACAAGATGGGCCACTTCTCTCTTTGAGCCAATTAAAAAAGTGTCCGCAAAATTTGGTGGCGCCCTCTTCACAAAAGCGCACTCTTTGCGAACAGAGTTACCCTACTTGAGTTTTAAAAAATCAAAGTGAAACTAGTAAGTTTTGGGATAAATTTCGGAAGAACGCTTTTTAAAAATGGTTACGCTGACAAAAAACCTCT